GGTCTGAAACAGTTTTCTTGGATATTCCCCTTTGCGGTACTTGCAAGGACCGCTCCCCCGGTGTCCCAATCAGATGTCTGGCCGAGAGATCAGAAGAAGCATATTTTCTTTGGAGCACCTCCCACGTCCACGTCCACTAGATGGAAAGAGGGTACTTGGGTGTGCCTTTTTTTGACCTCAGTTGCCTTTTTGAGGTGGCTTAGAGGGAAACCAAAAGAACATGTCCACCTGTTCGGAGGGTTCGGAACCATTTTGAGACGAACCCATTTCAGAAGCAGTTGCACCAAACCTGACTCGTGCTTCAACCAGAAAGAGCCGGGGTACCTCTCTACTGCTATTGGGATCTTTAGACTGACCAACTTTGTGGATCCCCCTCATATTTCCTTTTAACCTGCAAAAAGGTGAACAACCTTTTTTGGGGATCCAAGACCAGGATACCCCTCATATGTCCTTCGAACCTGGAAAAAGTGAAACTCTGTTTGCGGGATCCATTGCCAGCACCCGAGACCTGTACCGCTCATTTTTCAGGCCTCACTATTTTACCATGATCAAAGTCACCCCCTAAGTGGTGGGTGACTTGGGAAACAGCCAACCATTTCCTGACTTTGATAGCCCCCAGAAACCGTCAAAATAATGACCCAAGGTTTTGGTTGTTTCCGGCGGAAGGTCCATCGCCTGCATTCTGGCGGAGATCCAGACACGGAAGCCGCTCTTTCCTGGGCCGGGGGGCCCCAGGCGCAAGGCCGCAAGGCGCTGGCAGGGTCGCGGGCAGGGGTCCGTTTTGGACTAAGGTGACTTGAACCCAAGGGGTTTTGTTTTGGGGAATTCAACCACCCCTGAATCTAAGTCCACTTTGGGGTTGTCCAAAAATGGAACCCTGACCCTGCCGCAATACAAAAACAGATGCAGGGATCTGCAGGGGTCACCAGGGTGAGTTAGATGGCGCAACTTCCAGGTAGATGTCGGGAAGGAAGGGGGATCACTACATCAAGTTGTGAGAATGTCATCCATCTATTTTCACCCGACTGTCGAATGGACGCCTTCATGCCTTCAATCCGTTGTCTAAATGGCTGTGGCTCAAAAAACTGGTACCAAAATGGAACCTTGGCAAGTGGACACATGGACCAAAACCCGCGTAACCCCTTCCAGTTTAATTTTGAGCCACAGCCAAATAATAAACATGGCTCAGTTTTTGAAGAGATTGCACTCCAGTTCCAGGTCACCAGGCTGTGTTACATAGCTTCAGGTAGGGCGAAAATTCCGTAAGTTGGACAAGTTGGTTTGTGGTCCAAAGGATTAACTCACTCATGAAGGGCGCACCCACATGTTGCACTCAACATAGTTCAAGACACCCCAAGACACAAACTGGTTGCTTAGTTCTTGGTTGCCTTGCAGTTCGTGAAAAGGAAAGAGTCGAGTCATATTTCGCTGTTTCTGAAAACTAGGAAGCCTCCAAAGGTGTATGGCTTTGTTCCCTGCAAGAGCCTTTTTTGGGGGGACAGTCCCATATTGTCGCCGTCCTGGCTATCCAATCTGGCGTTTCAAAATTCGGGATCGCTGGCTTCCTTCAGGTGTTTCAAAGACTTTGGCGCACGCCCGGCTGCCTACCCTTCTGCCAACAAACAAGAGGAATGTAATTCGTCCTCCGAAGGATTTCTTCTTCTTTTTTTCTGCAGGTCCATGCTTGGCCGGGTCATAAGCCATCTATTTTGGAGCCAGCCCAGGCGGAGTACTCAGAACCAGCTGGACATGATCATTGACCTCTTGGGCTCCCCAGACTCGAGGGACAGCCGCCGGTTTGGCTCGACTTGTGATCCAAGTTGCAGCATTGGTTTGGGACATGGCCCTTTTTTCGTTTGATCAACTTGACCCATGCCTTTCACTTGTTTTTCAACAAAAGACACGTTCCATCACTTTTCCCCTCGGACATCAGGGACCAACGCAGAGTCAACATGCCGAAACCTTTGTGTTTGAACGCCAACTCATCTGTCCCATGATCCAACAACCTGCTTACTTGCACTTAGCAGGGCTTCTTGTCGCGGACCAGAGATCCATTGTGAGGGTACTTACGTTTGCTGGAGGGCCATGTCTTTGCCTACGTTCCTGTATTAGAGACCACAGTTTGGTTTTGCAAAGCATAGCTTTGGTTGAAAGCCGGCCACTTGTTTTCACCTTGTGCGACAACAACCAGGCTGTTGGTCAAAAATTAGTACCCCAAATGGAACCTGGTAGCTGGAACCATAGGCTCAGGAGTTGTAGGCTTGATCCATATCCAATGCCCATCAGGAGCGGTTTGGTTGCGCTTTGGTTCACAGCGCATGTGGTTCGACAGCTTTTGGTCATAAAAACCAGGAGCTGATGAAGATCCCCAACGAGAAGTGCCGGAAGTTCATCAAGCGCGGGCCCACAACACGCTCGATGGGCTGAGCCTGATGCGTGCACCAAAACGGGGATGTGTTTTTTCTTCTTGAAATGGGATCTTTTGCAGCCCCCCTCTTTGACATGCATGTGAGTTTGGTTGAACATGTTGATATATGATTATGTGGATTCCTGGGGCAAATCGGGGTCGTTCCTGTTCATTTACCAGTGACCTCCAGTTTTGTGACAGGACGCTTGGGCGTGCGACTGCTTCGGCGAATGGAAGCAGCTTTAAGACACAACATGATCCCAAAGAGGTCCCGAGAGACCTCTAAGCATCCCTTGCCCGTGATCTCGGAGTTACCACTATATTGTAGGTAATCATTCCTTTTCCTTTTGGTTTTCAAGCTTTGCTAAAAGCCAAGCCCTTGGTAGAAAACCACGGAGGTTAAAGCAAAAAAAACAACAACGTGGCCAGCCCTCGGCCTCCAAAACCTGGGAGATGGAATTGCTGCAGCTTCTTGCCTTTTTTGTTTGATTTGAGTTTCCATGGAACTACTGCAGTGGTTTGTCTTTTGGTAACGACCTGCAAAAACCACAACCTGCAAAAACAAGCCCTTGGTAACCTGCAAAATCCACAACCTGCAAAAACACGCCCTTGGTAATCTGCAAAAACCACAACCTTCAAAAACAAGCCCTTGGTAACCTGCAAAACCAATTTTCTCTTTCGAGTTTCTCTTTGCCGTGGTCTGAGCTCGGCCCCGGCATATGTCAGCTGTCAGGTCCTTGCCTGTGAGTGCCTCCAAGGACTTCCCTGAGGCGGGCGGGCGATGCTCCGGGGAATCGTGGTTTGAAAGATACCCACACCATCCAGGTAGGTTATGGTAACACCACATGTGTATAATATGTTTATATATATATACAAAAGTATAATATTGCATTGAATTATACACACACACGTTCGTATATATATATATATTAATTGCATTCATGGATTGCTTGGATACATGAAGATATCATGAAGATACATCGGCTTGGGACATCCCAGTGTGTATTTCTCAGCCTTGGGATATTTGTTTGTTGCGATGATCACCGTGTGGCGCTCCGTGCGAGAGCTCGGGGCGAATCACGAAGAGTCGCCAGAAAGCGCGCCAGCCTCCACCTGATTGTTGGGTGCAGTTTCAAGGCGTGTCTCGCAGGGATCCCTCCATATGTTTGGGCCTCCGATTGCGCGACCGTTTCACTTGAAGCCACCAGTCTGCAACTTCTGAAAGGGGGAAATCCACTGAGCCCTGTCTCTAGCGTTTGGTTCCCCCTGCGCCGTTGTTTTCGCCCGCGACTTGCCGGCCGACTGCTCGGGTCCGAGCCTTTGAAAGGTACACCTAAAGGGCAGAAGTTTGGGTAGGTGAGCCACACTCAAAACCGATTCGGGTAGATGAAGGTTCAGGGAAAATTCCAGCCTATTGCTGGGTGCAGCTGCCTTGTTTTAATTCTTTACATGGTTCGTAGACCATTTTGGCTTGGATTACTCAGTTCTTGGTTTATCTTTTTAGGGTTTCATATGTTCTATCCTTCCAGATATTTCAGAGCCCAGAGCCTTGCTTTTTCCTCAGCCCTGACCCAGGTTTTTCACATGATGCCGGAGACAGCACGTGCCGAAGCCTTAGAGACCTTCACCTCTTGCGCGCAACATCCGGTCACTGCTGACTCCTCCGTGCTTCAGCGCCTTTTGCTTTGGCAGACCCAAGGGGCCTTGGGATTGAGCAACCTCTTGATGGTTTCGGCTTTCCTGGTTTCTTTTGAAGCGGTACTGTGTGAACCGAGCCACACGCCCCAGCCGGCACTCTTTCAACTACCCTCGCACCCACAGACATGGACAATCACACGCGTATCTTGTCAAGACAAAAGTAGTCGTTCAAAGCGATTTTGTGCGCCTTCATATCTTTTAGTGGAAGGGTAGACACAACAGGCTTTTCCAGCTGAAAGTCTGAGGGTCTCCCAGATTTCTGAAATCGGCTTCCGGGCGGCGTGGAGCGGTTTCTTCGTTAGTTTAAGCCAAAAAGCCAACGGAGCAAGCATAACAGCTAGAAAGAACGAACGCATGTTGAGCGCCGCCTCTTTGGAGCAGTTGAAAATGGAGGCATCGCGAGCTTTGAGCGTACACCGAGCTCGGGCCGTTTTGCCGCTTTGGGAGGGGCTACACTTGAGTGCTTAAGATTTCTTGAGAGGGTCCAAGTGTCTGTCTGACCGTCCTTGCAATGTGTAGGGCTTGGATATTCTTCAGGGGACCCCATGGCTTGCGAAAGAACTAGTTGACAAGACAATTCCCCTTCAGATAGAGTTTGCCAAATGAAACCAAACGCTGCGAGGTCCTGTTTATGCTGCCTCACCAGGCCCAAGCCGGACTTGAGTCACTTTTTGGAAAAAAACACATTTTAGTTGTAGACAAAAAGCTTGGACCCACACCGGTGAGTAACCTTTTTGTGCCCCTCTTTTCATTTGCCTTTTTTCACTGCTTTGCATGTTGCTTGGATGTTCCCACTTTAATTTTTTTGCCCACGAATTTGGGTTTTCCGTGTTAAACCCACTAGCAAATATTCACTTTTGCAGGGCAGGAGCAGAATTCGCCACCGAGACGTATCATGTACCCAAGCCACAAGGACATCCTGCGGAAGATGCTGCGCTGGGATCCTACGAGCCGTCTCTCCGTGGAGGAGGTGCCGCCAAAAAAACGTGGGCCAAAAGCTGGTGCCATGGACCGGTCCCGCAAATTGGCGGCTTTCCTTTTGGTGTCCATTGAAATCAATCCCTTTCATTTGCTGAAAGGAATATGTGTTATTTTCCCCTGTTGGTTTTAAAGGGAATTTATCACTACTGGAAACATTAGTATTTTTCCAGGGGTCTTAAGCAAATGGAGGATCCCCAAAGAAATGCCCCCTCATTTGGAGCTTCATCATGTTTGCAAGTGTTCACGCTAACAGACGGAAGTCAATATCATTTTGGAGCTTTTGACACTTGCAGTTGGGGGCACTAATGTTATTCATCACTGGGAGGTCCACTGACGTTTTGAGATGTTCAGGCGGTCAGTAGCACTAGGGGATATTTGGAGTTTTCAACTGATACTGGTGATTGTTGATGTTTATGACTTATGTTGGAGGTAGACGTCCTTCAATTTGTTGAGCCCCATGTGACTCCGGACTTCGTGTCTTCGGCTGTCTCAACAGGTTGGGGGTGTGTTGTTCAGATACACTTGGCGCGGAAAGGGTGCTGCGTGTTGGGAAGACAGCTGACAGGTCTCTCTCAGTTTCTTCCAACAGTCACGGAAGATAACAGGAAGCCTTTATACATATCATCGAAATCCAACAGAAACACTACCCTCCCTTGCAAGAGCATAGCACCTGAAACGGGGCCCCCCAAAGAAATTGTTTTTTTCAGGTGCCCTTTGACGGTGCTGGGGGAGGAGGGGTACCAACGAGGCCGGTCCCTAAGTCCCCGCCATAGGTGTCCTTCTTGGTTGTTTTGGGCAAAAATATAGATGGCGATTCCTGGTTTTACCTGGTGGTTTCATCATCTACCAGGGAAACCCAAATCTATTTCCCCTCAAAAGACACCTATGTTCTGAAGGCGTGCAAAGGACCAGCATGCGGCACTTGAAAGGAATCCATTAAAGAACCTCTTCAACGGGTCAAGTAGGACATCCCCCCCTCCCATATCAATCGAGCGGGGCGTTGGCCAGGCCATCATGCACCCGTACCTCGATAAGCTTCACTGCCCTGAGGCGAGGATCCACGCGAGATCTCGCGCGCGCGATCTCGCGCGCCGGGGATTTCGCAAGCGGTCCAGGACTGGAGCCTTTTTGGGGAAGAACATGTGGTGGCTCAAGAGCTGGGGCAAACCGCAGGTTTTAGTCTTTGGTTCCATTTATTAGGGTACGCCATTTTGGTACATGTTTTTGAGCCACAGCCATTGTTAGTACTGTTGACCCCGCATGAGTGTTGACCCCTGTTTATTCCCTGGTTTTGGCGGGATTTATCACTTTTGGAACGCCCCCCATACTAAGAAACAGGGGGTTATTAAAATCCGGGGTTATTAATTAGTAGTAGCAAGTCTTAAGCTTTTTCAGCCCGATCCGCTGAAGTGAGTTGTCTGTCAGTCTAGGGCGTTCCAGAAGAACACAACTTGTTCCAGCCAGTCTCAGGAAACATCGAGATCTGAAAGCCCTCTCTTTGCCAGAAAAAGGCCAAGTGATCTATCTGGCCCTATTCCGGCCCTGAAGGTCGAGGTTGGGACTTCTGGGGCCTGGGGGTTGCTTGATGAGGGATAGGGGTTGCTTGCTGGTGCGATAGGGAATGACCGAGTCCGGGTGTTCGGGCTGCGGGTGGGGCTGAACCTGCGAATTCCCTTGAAGGAAGCCACAACGGATGGTTCATAGGGGTCATTCCAACTCATTCCCTGCTGAGAACCAGCAAGGTTGATTCCTTTTCCATTCTTTTCAAGTTCCACCATTCTTCTCCAAGAAACCCGATCGCTGTTTCCCCAGGCTTGTTTGGTGTTCTAAGAAGGATCCCTGGAAACGGGGAAACATGGCGACGTTTTGTTTTGCAAAGAGTCGATCCAAGACACACTGGATGGACAACATCCTGCACCACTGCACCACCCCAAGAAGCTCTCCACAGATGATTCGGCAACGTAAAGTGAGGCATCGATTTCTGGATGTCCTGCCAACGAACCTCATGGTTTCAGCCGCAGTTTCCAACCGATGCGACCGGATTTCGCCATCCATCCACATGCCTCGAGCGCGCGAGCGGTCCTCGCCACCGCCGTCGGCGCCGGCGCGCGAGCCGCGAGTCGCCAGGATGAGCCCACCCGTGAGCCGCTGGACACCACGGACTTCGAGCCCGGGGCCACGAAAGTCCGATTTTCCGGAAACACGGAAAGATTACCGCGGGAACGGCCAAAAGAAAGAGCCATATGTTTTCCCAGAATTGGTTTAAAAAAGGAACCAGACTTCTTTCCCAGAAATAGTTTCCCGGTTTTTTTGGTGGGTGGCGCTTTTTTGCTTGGTCCCCTTGCTTTTCCACCAACCCCGATTTTTTTGCGGTCCTAAAGCCAACCAAGAATTAAACCATTTTTTTCAAATCAAGCTCCTGGTTTCCTTGATCAAACCTCCGGGGTTCAACTCGGTGTTCAGACAAACAGCCTGGTGGTTTCTGAACAAAGAAAAAAAGGAACCAGGTGATTTGAACATATTTGGCCCAATGGCTTAGAATCCTTAGAGCCCTCGATTTGGACCGGGGGGTAAAAAGGGGCACCAGTATGAAGGTTCCATTGGTTCCATGCTCAGGGGTCCTTTGTACCCTTCCCAGTAGGGGTTTTCCCTTCTGAGTCGTCTGCGCCAAACATGCCAGGCTCGGAGAGTCAAACATCCCCATAGTCCAGACCCTGGCATTGAAAGATAGAATCCCGCAATTCCTGGCGCATGGAGCAATCTGTCAGGCACAAACCTGAAACAAGGAAAGAGGAACCACGACCCACCGCCCCTCTTGGAGCTTGCGAAAGAGGAGCCAGCCAAGCTAAACGGAAACCAAGTGGGTGTGCATCAAAGTAGAAAGACCCTGGAAATGATTGTTTTCCTCTTGGCTTTCCCTTTCTACATCTCAAAAGCGCACCATCAACAATAAAAACAAACAACTTGAGCCGTTCTACATGTCCTTCCCTTGTCGGAAGGTTCGAGCGGAGGAAGATCAATATCCCTGCCCTGCGGGAGGACCGGCTGAAACCTGAGCGAATAAATCATGGACATGGGTGGCAAACCTTGGAATACCAAACCGGTAGAAAAAACAACATGAATTTGGCATTTATTTGGAGAGACTCGTTCGATGTCTTTTTTTTCTTTTTTTCGGGGGCCGATATTCTACTGTATAGTTTACCGCTGCCATTTGCTCGAGATTGGAAGTTTTTGTGTTTTTTGCCTTTACCTACGTTTGCCATCGTTTGCCTGTCGTTTAGCGGGCATAGTATTCATGTTAGTTTTTGCTTAAGGTGCTGCATCGTTTTTTTTCCCTGTTGGCTTCAAGGGACCACGGACATGATGCGACACCAGCAAATGAAAGCTCAAGCACGTCACTTGGTAGGGCTGGTCATTTTGGCCATGACTCATATGCGTTCAGCCGGGCGGTGTGGTGAGCCATTTGGGTTTAGGGCCATTTTCTGTGATAAGGGAACTCCCCTTCAAATGATTTGGTCGTCGCCTGGGATCTCTTGTGACTCGCTTCCGCATTCAAAGGTTCACAGATGGACCAGAATGAAATATCTGTGGCTTGGTTCATGGGATGGATGGGATGGTTTGCGTGCAGGTTATTTGCGCACCGTCTGGAGCCTTGCGGATGAAGCTGCCAGGAGATCTTCAGGGAAGCTCTTGAACATTTTCCGGACATCAAAGACCGGTATGACCAGGCGCGGCGCTTTTGTGCGAGACTTGCGTTGCCATGGAGAGAAGTTGAGTGGATCAAGCAACGTGTCAGAAAAACAATGGAGAGGCAATGTGTCTTCGAAGCGCTTGTGTCTTCGAATTCTTTGAGGGAAACGAGTCTAAGCAATGCCCGAAGTTGAGTATATGCTTTGCGATGAGTCATTCGTTGTTGTTTTTTCACCCAGCTTCAAACATTGCTCAGGTTCCGGGGCCTTTTGCGCTAGCGAAAACAACAGGTCATGGGATTTGTCCCTTGAAACGAGCTTCGCTTTTGAGGGTTCCGGCAAGGGAAATGGCTCGGGCACCCTGACTTGAGATATTTCACCGTTTCCGGTCTCAATTCTTCGGCCTGGAGATCACTTCCAGGGTTCCATAAAAAAAACTCCCTTAAGGTTTTGCACATCACCTGGTGATATTCAGGGAACAAACATCTCGAACGCCATGGATCGCTGCCACAGGAAGTGCGCTTGGGCAACGAGATTCCCCATGACATCGCTCAGCCGGCGGCCCAAGGAGCTGAGAAGGGAAACAACATGTGGATGCAGCTCATGTTTGGTGCAGATGCCATTCCTTTCTGTGTGTTAGCTCTGAACGTTGACCGGATTCCATTTCTGTTTCCTTTGTTGGTAGATGTGTTGTTTTGTTTCTGTTCTCCGCAGGGCAAGCGTGACATTATAGATTAAGTCGACGTGACCAAGCTCTTAAGGTGTAAAAGTGGCCATAAGGAATCAGGCAAAGCAAGGTATCACCGAAAGCACAATCAGAGTCGCTTCAAACACCAAACACCAAAGCTATGAAAATTGGTCAACGCTTTGCTTTGGGTTTTCCTTTGAGCTGACCATGGTTCTAGCTTTGTCGATCGTTAAGCAACCCATAGCGAGGTATCGACTCCTCATGCCCGGGGAGTCCCAGTGCGCGATCAAAGGATTGAGCGATGCTGAGCTCCGTGGCGGTCTCTTGGTCCATTTGCTCAAGACTTTGGTTGCCAAGGGCTGTTAGGACTTTAACTTTTTGCCAACTAGTGGGTTTTCCACTAAACCACTAGAAGTTAAACTTTTAGCAGGGGAGCAGAAAGCAACTTTTTGCTCAAGACACGTGGGTATGGCTCAAAAAACCGGCATTCCAAAGTGAGTTGCCCTGGTAAGTGGACACATAGACCAAAACCTGCGTAACCCTAGCTCTTTAATTTTGAGCCACTGCCACTTTCTTTTGTTCCGCTGGTTTTCAAGGGAGTCGATCACTGGAATCTACTGCTTTGTCTTTTGCCAGGGGGCTTAAGAAACGGAGGTGGTGAGTCTCGATTTCCAGATTTCTACGGGTGGGGGTGAGTCCGAAAACAGGATTGGCGCCTTGCGCCTCTCTCGCTGCGCCTTTTCCAAGTTATTGTTTCCAAGCTTCGCTTGTTTCAGAAGGCAGCTGATGTATTTCCCAGGTTTTGGGTGCACCCTGGAAAGAAGGATCCCGGGCTACCAGAAGCTTGCCGGCATTTGCTTGCTCTAGACTTCCCGTTTGTTCCAGCTTGTGCAGAAGCACCATCCCCCATATTCAAACCTAGCGGCAGAGATTTGAGTTGGATTGGGAGTATTTATCTTTGCCTGCATGCCGTAGTATGAAATGGCATTGGTCTCGGCAAATACTCGTAACCTCACAGATGGTGTTTGCGACCGCACCCATGATGAACTTATTGACAAATTATTTCCCCTGCTCCAACTCCCGGCTTTTGTGAGGCTATATCTTGCAGAAGCGCATGTTCCACGGTACATACCTTGACATCCGATGCTGACATCATACCCTAGAAAAGGGATGTACGGGGTGTTCTCAATTCCAGTTCAGTTGTTTGATTTTTAGTCAGTTGCCTAGACTGGTGACAGTCGTCAGCCGGAAGTTTGGCCGGGACAGTTTGAGCTTCGCTACTTGGACACAGGCTTCCGTTTTTTGACTACCCCAAAGTCGACTTAAACCCAGGGGTGGTTGATTTCCCCAAAAGGGAAACCCCTGGGTTTAAGTCGACCTTGGTAGTCAAAAAACGGAACCCTTGGACATGTGCCATGGTCAGAACACCCTTCCCCTGTGATTTCATTTCCCGATAGAATCCACTCTTTCAAAGCAAAGTGGCCGCCTGCTGTAGTGGTAGCCGGGCTCGACTGGGCTTGCTACGGGTGAAGGGATGGCACATACGCTGTTTTCACCACGGCACACACGTGTTGGTCATATCTTCTGATGCCTAGAGTCATATGAATCACGTCTTGTCGGAGATCACCTGTTGGCTTGACTTGCATGCATTGCTGAAGTTGGATCGCATCCTCCGGGATTTTCAGCTTCTGGGGGCATCCCTTCCGTTCGCCCCGACCTGTTTCCAGTCATGAACGTGTGTCCACCTCCATGATGGACTAGGTCCCCCAGCTAGGTGCCCTTTTTTACAATTTCTTTTTTGGGGGAGGGTTCCCCTACTAAAATAGGGTACAGAAAAAGGGTACCCTGATTCTAACCTCTCTACTGGAGGACCTAGTGGAAACAGGGTATGATGTCAGTTGACTTGGTCTGATTGGTTCCAGGTACTCATCGGACGAGGAGTCTGGTGAGGACATTTAGGCAGCGCCAAGAGTCGGCGACGTTCGGCTTCAGTTCAGAAGTCGTGGGGCTGCCATCCCATTTTTTAAGAAGCTCCAAGTTCGAGCATGATGTTGGGGTCTTCAATAGGGTGAGAGTGTAGCTCAGAGTATGCTTGGACTTTTTCTTTCTTTTCGTTCTCGGATTCAAGACGTGTTCGTTTGTTTGGATTTGTCCTGAATTAAGGAAGACCAAACAAATATTGGTTTTTGTTTGGGTTTCCCTTTGAAACCGCCCCAAAAAGGGTTCCTTCATGGGGGGGCCGCTTGATTCAAAGGCAGAGGTGGGGCGAGCAGTGTCCACATCTCCCGTCAGCACAACGTCTGTCCCCGGAGGGGCACAGATCTAGGGGTTATTGCCTGCCTATGCCGCCATGGGACAAGGAAGCAGGAGGCGTAACCTGCCAGCAAACAAGGCCAAGACCATGTTCTTCCTCCATTTGGTTAAGTCCCCTGGAAAAAAAATAAAGATATTTCCAGCAGTGATAGATTCCCTTTAAAACCAACAGTGGAAATAAGAAATATTCTTAACCAAATGGAAGTCTTCAAATCGACCAAGGGGTGTTTTCTGTTGGAGGCTATGATGAAAGACCCAGTGTTAGGGAAATCTGGCCTTGAGTTTCACCTTGGGGGACCCCTTAAGAGTGGACATGAATACCATGATGTCAACCAGAGGGTCCCCAAGAAACGCCCATATCTTTGTGGGAGGGCAAGGTCTTCTTGGGGCCACGAGCTGACGTCAACATGATTCTTTGTCGTTTGGGGGTTTCCATGATACACAACCATGCTTGGGATGGCCTCATACGTATTTGCCATGGAGTTCTCTTGGCTGGCACCAAGCAAGTTGCTGTTTCCGTGTAGCTCTGGCACATGTCAGGGATCTGGTTGCAAAAGCACAGGTGCTAAGCTTTTCCGAGATCCTGCGAGGTTCATAGAGATCTCTAGGACGGTGAATAGCTCCAGGGGCCCAATGAATCAAAGGCAAACGAAGCCTAGGTTTCTTTCGAAGTGCCCTTGGATATGGGTGCCTCGTCTTTTGTGGAAGGCATCCCCTTTTTGGTTTCAAAGGGATTGTTGGGGCGGGGTGTTCTTTGAAAAGACACCCATGTGACACACTCCGCCCTTTCTCAGGCTTCCGTAGAAACTTTCTTGAGGCGAACATAGGCCGGCAGGTCAGCTCGAAGTTTCACAGCCCCGCATAGTCCGCGTGTTTAAATGAAGTGGCTGAGCAGAGAAAAGAGATCAACCTCGAACGAGAGGCGCGGCATGAATGAGCGTTCGTCCACGCAGAAGCAGCAGGCTTTGAATTCTAGATTATATTTGGGTGCTGTTGGGGGGACCCCCTCAAATGGTGGGTTTCCTTTTGGCTTCCTGTTAAAGCCAACCGAAGCAGGGATACCCTCAAGTAAAGACACCCCCACTTGTACTATTGTTATTGTCCATACTGCAAGAACACCTCCGATCCAGACTGACTCAAGATTGCTTGACCGTCGGAAGCCTAGTTTGGCTCAGCCCCATCAGACGCTGAACAAGCTGTGACTAGAAAGGCGGCTGACTCCAGTCGGTTGGTGCCAAGTTTCCTACGGCTTTGAGTGTCTAGCTTGGCTGCAAGATATCACATTATTTCACCATGAGAAGCCAGTTGAGTATGTCGAAGCAAGAACACACGGCGTAGCAGTCCATCTTGAAGTGCGTCAGTCGAGTCCCATCAGGGTTGCTCCCGGCAAGATGATCACATCCGAAAAAAAGGCTACAAGCTCCTCCAGAGGAACCCCCAGCTTCCCTTTGCCCGGGTCAAGCCGCAGAAGAAAACACACACGCAGACACGCTAGGTGCAGTTTGTTCATTTCGAGAAAGTGGAGCCATCTGGATCGCCTTCGGGGGCGATCCATGGTTTCAAATGCATGACACCAGAGGCGGGGTCTTGCGGCTCCCTTTTCAGGGGAGTCCTGGGCAGGGAAATCCAAGGGGACCCCAGTTGTGTGCTCCTTGGCTCACGCCCTGAGTTCATGAACTTTGAACTTTTTGGGAAAAAACAACCACATGTCCGTGGGAAATACAGAGTTCAAGCGTTTCTTGGCCAGTCCACTCAGGAAGTGGAGACCATCCGCCCGTGCTTTGGATGCTGTCACGACTTTGCGGCGAGGTGAGCGGCCTAGACATCACCGAAGGTGATGCTTACCAAGCCCGGCGCGCAGTAAAATCTGAAGGGGGGCGGAACAACTATGAACCTTACAGGTCTAAGGTATATGGGTGCGTTTTTGTTGCAGGGGTCAAACAAAATGTGTGCTTCACTACTTGTTTTGTTTCAACCAGAAAAAAAGGGGTACCCTGAAAAGACTACACCCCCATATGGCATTTGCCCTTTGGCGCCTTGTGCTGGCTTAAGAAATTTGCAAAGGGCCTACCACAAAAGCCCCTGATATTGACATATCCTTCGAGCGGAGCTTGTTGCCAGGAGAAACTTGGGCCAGATAGGCCACTATAGGCAGGCTTGGAAAAAAGCAACCCTTTCCCAGCATCTAGGAATGGTTTCCGAAGTTGCTGATGTGGAAGACGGTCAATATCAAAGCCAAGGCTCGGCTCGCCGGCTTGTTTCAAAGACAACTTCCGAATGTGCCAACATGGAGATCATTAACAACGTGTTAGGTTGCATGGTTTGCCTTTTCCACTGTTTGTGGGAGAAATAAGCTGCCCCCCCGGGTGTAGAAACCCTTTTCAAGGGAGGCGGTTCATTTCGGGTGAAAAGGCAAACCATGTTAGGTTGGTTACGCTGGATGCAGTGAGTTTGACGACTCCGTGTCTTTGTGTCCAGCCGGTCTGGATATCTCTTGCTTCAGGATGATCCGGAAGGATCGATTGCTGTCGTCCAAATTTTCAACTCCCGAAGTTTGGAGCGGCCATGACCCTGGAAAGAACTTACGCCCGGAGTTCCTCGAGTCTATACTTTTTGGGAAGACCATTTTAGCGGTTTTTCAAACAGCTTGGATATGTTCATATGTTCAGACCCATCCACTCATCAAGTGAGGAAAAGAAGCATGTGAGCAAAAGATTGCCTTTTGTGCTTTTGCAGATTGTGGCGGGCGGGGGGGGAGCTTGGGTTGTACTGGTCCATCGGTTTGTAAGGGTATTGTCGGTCGTGTGGGGATGTACAATGGAACCTGCACGATTGGCGGGTTCTCTTTGGTGGGTTCTTTTTGCAGTTTCCCTTGGCACAAAAAGCCCTAAATGGGGCACCTGCAGGAAAACAAATATCCCAGGGCCCGTGTGTCTGGATACCCCTTGTTTCTTGTTGCAGGTAAATGGGAAGCTGCCCCCTTGCCCTTACACCACAAGTCACCAATGGAGCTGCACCAGTCAGGTGATGTATGCCAGTGCTTCATCCATCCCAACTGCGACATGGATCTTGTCCATCCACAGTATTGGCCAGATGTGTGTTTTCAAGCTAGCTGGTGTTGGAGGGGGTATCCAAGTTTGCTTTTACAGAGGGAGCCTTTCGGAGCTACCATGTAAGAACATGGCAGCAAAGAAACGTTATTTCCGCCATATGTTCTTCTTGCTGGTGCTCAGTCAGGAATGAGGGAATGAACCTGGGGATTCCCGAACAAAGGAAGCCACCAGTTGAATAGTTTATCTCGGGGTTCCACTTTCTCAGCAAGTCTAGGTTCTCCAGTAGTGCCCTTTTCCCGGGGGAGGGTTCCCCTACTGAAATAGACAGAAAAAAGTTGGTACCCTTATTCTAGCCTCTCTACTGGAGGACCCAGAAGTCTTTGCCCCTTCCGAAACGGGGCCCGTAATCCGATGTGAAGCACGCCTCGACCCTCAGGCTGGAAAGCCCTTCCCACGGCCGAGCGGTTCGTTCGGGTGACCCGGTCGTGTCTTGCGTCGTTGTGTTTGGTTGGCAAACCAAAGGGAAACCAAAGGGAACGCCATTTTGGGGTCTTCTCATTTCAGGACACGCAAGCCTATGGCCCCAGCGAGCTTTATACTGGCCTTTGGCTTTTAAGTCTTCAGCCCAGTGCTCCAGGCCTAACGCTTTCGATGCAGGTGTTCATCTCAATTGCATGTTGGTTTAGCTGCTAACATGGATGCAAACTGCACTTCTCCTGCTCAATGTCTATCATTTGCTATCTCGTACCACTGAAGTTGGTTTCCTTGTGTTTTTTAGAGAAGACTCTTGTCTGCTTTGCACAAACTTGCATTTATTCCGATGGAATGCCGGTAAACTGCGCGTTGTTCCTCATCAATTGATGCGTGGCCAAACGCACCCTTTTTTGCACCTCAACCCTTGCGTCTTGAGTCGGTCAACAGGGCCAGCAGGTTGTCCGAGCACGGGCTGGCACATCTTGGATTGAGGGTTGGAGGTGGTCAGTTCATTTTTGCTGGAAATGGTGTGGTAGCACATTCTGAATTGAACATTGGCAAAACTCTCTGATTTCTTGCGCATCTTCAACCCAAGATGTACTAGTGGAACGTGCTAGCACGTGCTACCTCATGTTTGTTGGACTGAAGATTGAAGAGTTTCAGGAACTTGTCTGGGAAGTTTCAATCCAGGATTCCCTTCCCAGGACGTGCTAGCACGTCTTAGGACATCGCACTAGCACATGCTGCTGGGTTGAAGATTCTCAGAATCTCTCTGGGAACGACCTGCAATCTTCAACCCAGGATGTGCTAGCACGTGCAAGCACGTCCCGCTAGCGCATCCTGGGTTGAAGATTCTCGGAACTCTTCCACGGAGTCTTCAATCTGCAGTCCCCATGTCGGATGTGCACGTGCCAGGGAGGGGGTTATAGCACTTTCCGAGCATCGGTTTCGTGGAGTCGAGAGGACTGCGCATGTTGCCTGCATCTGCCGGTGTAGGCCTGATCGCTGATCGCATCGTCAAACACGTGAGTACTCCAGAGCAATATGTATACATTATATATATATATATATATGTATGTCCAAATTTTGCACGCGCACACACACACAGAGACACTCGCACATAAGTTGCCGTGTATGAATGCAATAATATATACATATATATATATATATATTGACATATATATATATATATACATACATCAACGCAATGCCCCCAGAAAGGTGTTCTTACGCCTGGGCGCGGCTCATACCACTGAGGGGGATCCCACCTCCCGGAGATGCCCAGGCAGGCCGTTCAGCCCCAATCGCTCGCCATGTTGGGTGCGGGGGGTCGCTACGTGGTGTTCGGCCAAGCTAGTAAGTGGTTGGCCTAATGGGGTACAACCCACTGACGACTGGGTTAACCCCATGTAAGGAGGCTTATGAGTGGGTTATAACCTAGGTTGCCAACTACTTACTGCCCTGGCCGAACACCCAAGTACCTTTCCCTTTTTTTGTTTAATTCAATCGATCCCGCGCCTGGGAATGTCCAGTTTCCCTTCAAAGTGTGACCAATTGAGCACGGGGCACTGGCCAAAAAATGAATTGAGAGCCATGGCAAAGGGAGTCATTGCAACCGGATAAGGACCAGGAAGCTTCATGAGCTTGCCATGGCTCCCCCACTGATGGCTCGAAGCAGTATTGGACACGTCTTGGTTTGATTTGAACCAGTGTGACTGCCTGCGTGAACCGCCGGAAGTTAGCCAAGATTCATCTGCGTTCAGTGCTCATTTGGGTTCCGCTACGGCCGTTAGCCATTCCTTCCATTTGCTTAAGATTATTTTGTTTGACGTTTCCCTGTTGGTTTTAAAGGGAATCTATCACTACTGTTTTTTTTTTGTTCAGGGGTCTTAACCAAATGAAAGATTATGTTTTGTTATTTCAACACGTGGGTAGAACGTTTGTGCCATGGTCACACCGTAGCCATGGCCCAAGGAGTTTGAATAGCGCACATGACCTGTTCAGAACATGCTGGGACCTGCAGCGGAACCCCTGCAGCCATGTAAGACCTCTAGCCATATAAGTAGAACCTTCAAAGGCACCCATGGTGCTATGACCCACAAGCTTGATAGTGGATCTTTCAAAAATGTTGCTAGTACTCATCACCATGTTGGCGGAGCATAGTACCACGTTGGTAGATCCAAACACGAACTGGTGTTGGGCGCGGACATTCCATTCGATGAAGCAGCGCCCGGTCACCTGTGCGGCAGCCACAACCTTTTGTGAGGTTCAGGTCTCTTCAACGCCGCGGAAAAGTTGCCTGACCCACAAACGGGGCAAGCCCCTGGGCCCTGGTGGCTGCGGGTGTGTCCTTTTTTAGGAGACTCCATTAAAATTGTGGCTTTCCTGGTGGGTTCACTGAAAAAACCACAGAGCTGACCCGATGGCTTTCCTGGTGCTTGCCCGTTAGTAACATGTCAACACCGCAAAAAACAAAAAAACAAAACAAAAATGAAACAAAAAACAAGAAAAAACAAAACCGCAGACACGCTCCATGTCCTCTTGGTGCGTTTTCGTTTTGGGCGGTCGTGTGCTCAGGAGCAGCTTCAGCTTCTCTGGAGCCTTTGGCAGGCAGCTTGGGCCGCTGAGAGCCCCAGTGGCACCGTTTTTTTGCTCGAGGAGATGCTCCTTTCAGAAACAACTGGCGTTCGCCCAGGATGAAAACAAAAAGTGTGTCTGGTTTGATTTGGGGGATGCCTGTGGTTTCAATGGGGGTTCATCACTTTTGGAGAGGAACGCCCATCTTTACAAGCAGGCTTTTGCCAGGCAAGGGTACCCTTTGTCCCATGGCCTTTGGCAGGGGCTCTATATCACGTCTCAACATGGGTTGACCCCCCTGCTATTGCCACGGTTCAGGGGCCCTGAGTATTCAGAAGTCACGCTCAAAACGGTCGCCCTGCGCGAAGGCTCCCGGAGTTGGCCTGTTTACTGGTGTATTTGACGATTGCTTTTCTGACTTCACTGTACTATCTTGAAGCTGTGAGCTTCTTGCAGGATTCCCTGAAACGCAGCAGAATCATGCCTGGGGACTTTGGGCCAGGGTGTCCAAGTCTCCAAACCACTGGAACGTTCGAGCTTTCGAGGGAAACGGAGATTCCGAAGGTTCCAGAGCTGGTATTGGGATGGGCTTGTTTTTGTTGGCGGGAGTGGGGGGGAGGGGAATTTCGGTTTGCGGCACGAAAGCGCGCCAGGCGCAAGGCGCGTTGCGGCAGGAGGAAGAACTCCTACAGCAGGCGCGGAGTTGTGTTCGGGTTCTGGGTGTCAAAGTCGCCCATAAATAGCCGCAGGCCAAGAGGAGATGGACAAAAATTATCGTTATTTCGTAGACCAGTCCAATCACGTCTAAGGGGAAGAGGGGCCCAAACACATGGGTTCCCCTCCAAAAATGGTCAGCTTCAAGAAACGCGCGCCATTGTCAGTGTGCCCCCGAGCACCTGTGAAATGAGTTTGACCGGGCCCCGCACATTTACGTGACGAGGGGAAGCAGCAGGAGCTTGCAGCAAGTGGTGAAAATGGGAGTGTCTTTTTTTGGGGACTCCTAAAATGGCAGGGGGTGTCGCTTCAAAACACACACCCAAGGGGGACCCTTACAAAAGACCCCCATGGCACTCCACCAGCTTAAGGCGCATTTTGCTTGGACGGCTTTGAGATAAATCAACAGAGTTCGCGGTCGGGTTGAGGCCTGAGCTGTTTTGCTGTTCAGATGGGACACAAGACTTGGCTCCGGCCAGTCCTCGGACTCCCATGGCAGAAATTCAGTGATATATATATATACCTTTTGGACGCCAAGAATCGCACAAATCCCTTGGTTTGTTCCCCCACGCAACCCTGACTTCACGGCTTCTGGCTCTTATACCTGTTGCAGCTGCCCTGAGGCGGCCGCGGTGCAAGAGGAGCTGGCGAAGCAATGTGCGGAAGCCAGTTGCCAGACAAACGGGGCTGGGGGGGGGGGGTTGGTTCCCTTGCCTTTCGTCTTTTACAGCGATGCTGAAGCAAGTGAAACTCCAGGGGTTCCCTCCTCCTCCCAAGTGCATTTTTAAGGGAGCAATGAGTCTGAAAAGGCGAAACCAAGGCGATGAAACCCACGTCTGGGTTTGTGCTGCTGGCTGCGAGTCAAAAGGAAGAGAGCCCACTCCATCTAGATCCCTACTCCAAATACCCTCTTCATATTTTTTTTCTTTTGGGGGGGGGAGTGGGGGGGGGAGTGGGGGGGGGTAATCATGGCATTCCTATGCGTAAAAACAGACGTATTTACCATGGCACAACTCCGGGTCTTTTCAAAACGAGGAGGCCTACGGGGGTAAAACAAATTGGAAAATATGGAACAAGGAAGGAACTACTCTTTGAAAAATGGGCGCCTAATAGGAAGTATTTTTCAATACATGGGAAAAATGGGGGGGGAGGGGTTATCATGTCAACCCGTTGCGTAAGACAAGGGAGGGTATTTTACACTGGAAAACGGGGTTTCAAGACATGCCCGGGTTTCACAACATGATACCCTCTTCATATCTGTTTTTGTCTTTTTGATTATTTTTGGCTTTTGGGGGGGTAGAATGTCACCCTATAGTAAAAAAAGAGGTATAATGTCACCCTTTTGGTTTTTATGTCACCCTATCATGTCACCCCTAAGAATGAAAATGTCCTTGGAGGTCCGTTCCGGGGGGATGCATCCCAAATCCACCGTGAGGCCATTGCTTGCGCTTGGAGCTCCACAAGGCGGAGGCCCGAGTCGCCCGATTCGGCGCTCCTGGAGTCGGGGGTACGCGCGATGGATGCGGTAGGCGGGTGGGCGATGAGTCACTTGGATCCAAGTTGGATTTCTGGTTCGGATTTTCGACGCCGAAATTGCGGAGTCATTTTTTGTTTCTCGTTTTTTGTTTTTTTGTTTTTTCTCTTTCTCGTTTTTGGTTGTTCTTTTTGCAAGGAGCATCGATGGGAAGGCTTGCTCTTTGGGACCCACTCCCTGAGCTGGGCGTTTTTCACGACCGCTAGTATTGGCATGGCCGCGCATCTTCCGAGCAGAAAGGGAGGTGGGAAATCTGCAGCCTGGCTGGCCTTTCAAGTTTGCCTTGCAAAACAACAAAGGTGCGTTTGCAACTCCGATTTGCTTTGCTTTTTGAGGTCCCAGCCTTAAGATCTCTCAAACAGTTTTACATTTTCCCAAGCAATCCATATTGCAACACTGTTACCCACAACCCTCCAAATGATTTGCATGTTACAGATGCCCAACGAATCCACGTATGCATAAAGACTCCAAAAGACACTAAACCCTCCAAAGACAACCCACAACCCTCCAAATGGTTTGATCATCTCGCAGTTTTCCGAAAAGATTCCATGTGTGGCAGCAACCCTCGAAAGACCCGCCAACCCTCCACTCGCACAAAGACACCAGGCGGAGCTCGAGAGCTCCGCTTCCAGGCGGGGCGGAAGTCGGCTAGAGCCAAAAAGGGTGGTCGTTCGGTCAGGTTTTCGCGTGAGTTTGTTGACATCAGATTCAATAAAACCCGCTTTTTTTAGTATATAGGGGGCCCTTCAAAAGTGAGGAATCCTTACTAAAGTTGCCTCGGATTGAGAAACATATTGGTTGATGAATAGGGGGTATCCCCTTTTTCGAAAGGATTCATGGCATTTGGAGGGAAGTTTGTTAATCCGGGGTCCGGGGTCAACATTAGTGGGAAGGTGGGTTTTCCTTATCAGCCAGCCAAAAGAGGCGTCCATTTTGCCATGGTTGAAGGGAAGGTGACACTCAAACCTCCACGCATCCACCGGACATTGGAAAAGGTGCCCGATCTCGCGGAAGCCTCATATTCAAAGCTGTCATATCAGTCATATCGGAGAGTGCAACCAAACACCGCCCCCCCCCCCCCCCGCCTTCTCCGACTTTTTGCGTTTGAAGGAGATTGTTCAGGGCTCAACGGCCTTGCTTTGGGGCGACAGACGTTTTGCAGGCAGAGAGTGTAGGAACCATGACCAGGACCCACAAAAGTGTCGGACCCCATGGCACGGGACGGTGGTATTCCAGAGTTGCTGTACAGGATCGTCCCAACCCTGTACATATATATATATATATATATATTTGTAGGTGTGGCCACGCTTTATTTCTTCACGTGGTTTTTGGGTAGACCATTCTAACCTGTTGGAGACAGGGTGTTCAAACCACATCCCCTGCTCCCCTGCTCGGCTCCGAATGGTCTCATTGCAGGTTCTTATATAATATATGGAAGGCCCCAAGACAATGATTTTTCGCTGGCTTCCCGTTGGAGTGACCCGAAACTTGATGGCGTCTCACAATGCCATGCCCGCTTTTCGGTTTCCGTGTTTTAATCCCTGCGCGGAAAAGATTCCGACTGGATGCGACTCGACGTTCGCCTGGATTTCGGGCGGCGAGTGCAGGTCAGACAACGTGGTCGAGGCTGGGACCGACTGAACGAAGCTTGAAGCGGAGTGTTGGCATTAAAGAGGGCCATGTACATGGACAAGCTTCTTCTGTCTGTTTCTTTGCCAGTACTTGGCATGAGGCAAGCCTCAGTGGAACATGAAATGACGCACAAGCTTGCCTTGATCATCAGATTTGTTCACGATCGCACAGGAAGGTCTGCCAGAAGGGCATCTAGCTCTGGCATTGCGAAATTGAATGTCTTCAGTGGTGCGCGTGTCTGTTTAGCCCTGGTGTTTGCCAGTGTTGGATCCATGCCCTGCGTCTCCAAGCTTGAGCTCTGCCGCATTGCCTTGGATCACCGCCGTTTCGGCATCGCTTCACTCGACGGAAAGTTGTTCTGACATTTTTTTTCAAATCTAGGATCTTTTCTTTTGGTTGCGAAATGAACAGCGAAGCCCTGTGTACTGATTATGGCTGCGGCTCGGTCTGCACCATGGGCCAAACTCCACAGGTGATGCAGACCCCTGATCCAGACCAAAACGCAGGTGATTTAGGCAGATCCAGACATCAAGATCACTGCAGAACGATCCACACCCGTTATCTGAGCCATAGGCATTTCTGAACTTTCGGGACCCTTTGCTGGACATGGGATTGAACAGACTTGGGGGAGATTCCCTATCAAAATGTATGGATTGCGGCGTGACGAAGAATTAGCAAACATGTGTGTGTGTGTGCGTCAGAGAAAAGCCAAAAGAAAAAGGACTGCACGCATTTTGCGACTGACTGCGTGGGTGTTTTTTTTTGGTGAGGGTCTTCTTTTCAAGCTCGTCTTCGCGGCACACGGGGACCGCTGGGCTTGGCTCGCCCATGCTCAGGAGGAGCTGCAGCGTGCAGAGCGCGAGCACGAGGAGTTGCAGCAAGCCCTGCACCAGGCGGGGACTCGAAGAAGGCTTTGAGCCGCCGCCTCGCAGAAGGCACGGCAAAGACAGTCCGAATTCCCGGGCTTGTTAATAGGTGTCCATGGTAAGTACTCCAAAGAGCACAACCCTTGGTGGTTGACTCTACCCCCCCCACTGCAAACACCCAGCCGTGTGTTTTTTTTTGGGGGGGGTATGATGTCGACCCTCTCAAAAAGGAGGAGGTATTCTTACCATGGAAACCCAGGTGGTTCAAAAATACCCTGAAACAAGTGGGTATTTGAAGTCGGGGGTACTGTCGACCCGGGTGAGAGGCCCTGTGGATGGTTGCGAAGTCCTGAAGTCGAACGGCCGTTTGGAAAGCCTGGTGTGTGATCCCCCGGCAAATAGCGACCGATCGATTCGGCACGTCGGGGAAGTGGGTAAGAACTATGGTTGGAACCCGCAAAAGCCATGGCTAGAGATTTCCGTTCAGTGGGTTATAATTAGGCTTACTAACCACTTAGGAAGCACATGCCCCTTTATAAAAGTAAGAGCCTCCCCCAAGCACGCAACCAGCCCCCAATGTCATGTGATGTCATGTGTAAGCTGGTGCCGGTGCTATGCCAAAACAAAGGATGTGCCAGGTAGAGCATCCAGTTGTTATTGTTTCCTGGTCGACGGGGTTGCTGCGAGCTTCAAAACGAGTACCGAAGCACGAGGGGGTCCCACATGGCATTCTTAAAGGCATAAAATAATCAGAAAGGGACCCTGTGAGCGTTGGGTTTTTGCACACACCTAATTTTGCTGCATTCTGGCCAAAACCGAGGAAAAAAAAGGATTCTGGGACAATGTGCTGGTATCATGCAAACAGTTCTCCACCTTACCCCCCCCTTGCAGATGTCAGGCTCCTGTCCAAAACCGAAAAAAAACATCGAGAAATCGAAAGATTCTGGGACAATGTGCTGGTATCATGCAAACAGTTCTCCACCTTACCCCCCTTGCAGATGTCAGGCTCCTGTCCCAAAACCGAAAAAACATCGAGAAATCGAAAGATTTTGTCCAAAACCAAAAAAAACCTCGAGAAATCAAAAAAAAAAGATTCTGGGACAATGTGCTGGTATCATGTAAACATTCTGTTGGCCAGATTGTTTTTTTTTTTTTTTTTTTTTTTTTTTTTTTTTTTTTTTTTTTTTTTTTTTTTTTTTTTTTTTTTTTTTTTTTTTTTTTTTTTTTTTTTTCGATTTCTCGAGGTTTATTTTGGTTTGGGACAAAATCTTTCGATTTCTCGATGTTTTTTTTGATTTTGGATGGTTTCTTTCGAATTCTCAATGTTTTTGTTGATTTTGGACACCTTCTTTTGATTTCTCGATGTTTCTAAGGCTGCCTGCAGCAAAAGCTTCAACACAGGACAGCTTTGCAAGAAAGAGCTTAGAAGGTTTTCAAACACCAAACAACACAGAGTCCTTAGCTTCCAGCCAGCTTGCACCCAGCCCCAGCCCAGCTAGCTAGAGAAGAAACAGTTCAGCGTAAAGAAGTTTTTTGGAACACCAGAGCAGCAAGCCAAGGAGATAGAGCCTGTGCTATCTAACAGGGTAGTTCCATACCAGAGGCAGCAGCAGAGCAAGCTGCAGAAAGAAGCTGCACTAGTGATGTCAGCTTACCTCCAGAAGCTAGCAGAGCTGGAGAAAGAAGACCCAGAAGAAGCTGTAACAGGCAGACAAGGTGGCAGGCCTCCAGTTCTGGAAGAGCGTAGAGGAACTGCAGGTGGGCAGTTAAGCAACAGGAAGAAGGAGACAGATTTTTCAGGAAGCAAGAGCTTTTTGCCTTTCAGAAGATGAAGCTTAGTGAAGAGATTCAAATGATTCTGGAAGAGTCTCAGCCTCAGAAGCAGAAGCTTGGGCAGTTGCAAGGAGAAAGTTCAAGATGAGCACACAGAGGCTGGAAGATTGCAGAAGAGGTTTGCCAGAGCAGCTAGTGGAGGGAGAAAGAGAGAGTTTAGCAGAGAGATCTCTCAACTTGGCAAGTGGTTGCAGAAAGAAAGGAGTTATAGCCACAACGTTTCAAAGAAGAAAGAGTTCTTTGCCCTTCTGGTTGCAAGGGCAGAGAGATGCATGGTCAGGGCAGAGCTTTGCAGAAATGAGATGCAAAGGAAAGCTTGGCTGAAAGAAGCTGACTGTGCCCTACAGAGAAAGACCAAGCTCCAGCAGAGCTCAAAGTATGCAGCTTCTTATGTAGAGAAGCTGATCCAATGGCTAGGTGCAGCTTACTTGAGCAAAGATCAGACTACTCGCCTGGCACCAGTTGAAGAACAGGCGCGGGCCCAGCCTTCCAGGATATTGACAGAAAGCTCTGGCATCTAGGTGCTTGCTCCAGTTGCTGAGATTGAAGATGCACATTTGGTTGCAGATGCAGAGATGGTAGTTAAGAAACGATCCTCACTGGTAATCGGCACGAGTGATCAAGTCCCACTTTGGGCCAAAGATCGAGCTCAAAGGTGCCAGTTGGGACGACAGAAAGAGGTGGACTGAGATCAGGTAGGAGCTGAAAGCTGCTTAAGTTCAGGCAGCTGAAGAAGGTTACCAGCTTGTCAGTTGGGCAGATGTAGGAGCAGGGCCTCTCAAAGTTGCAGGTAATAAGGTGATGACAGGACAAAGTTCAGATGAAAAGTTTCGTTTAACATACGAAGCTTGCCAGAAGATTTACATCCACGATCTCCTTGAGATCCTCGTAGGTCATGTCTTCTGCTGCAAGTGCCATCTTAGCCCAGAGTGGAGGGTGGGACGACTCAGTGCAGGATGCAGATGGATGAGATGCTTTCTAGCTGGCCAAAGTTGCAGCGCAGATCGCGGTCAGAGGATATATACACACATAACTGCACACAACTCCCCAATTCGGAAAAACACTCGTTTCACATGGAAAATACCCACGCTGAGGGGGTCCCCCTCTCAAAATAATATGTATATACAATACTATACAAATTATATATTTATATAACATACCTGGATCTTCCAAACTGTGTATTGTTCATGCCTTTTCGTGAAAAGGTGCTTTTTCAGACAAACAACACTTTTTTTGTGTCTCCAGGCACTTTTCACTTTGTTGCTCTTCTGGACAATCCACGAAGGCGAAACGGCGACAATACCCGACCAAACGGCGACAATACCTTCAAACGGCGACTTTCCCGGACCATGTTTTTAGCCAAACTTGAAACGACACGTTTGCAGTGAAAAAGCGTGTTTGCGGCCAAAGGACGGACATTTGTGCTTTTTCAGCAAAGCGGGAAAAATGCACACCTGAAGATTCAGGTATGTGGCCTTTAGTTTGCTTGCCTTCCAGGCTTTCAATGACCAACTCTCTACCCTCGTCACAAGGGCCTTTTTGAGCAAGAATGGTCAACGCTCCAGCTGCAGGCTGAGAGACAGCTGCATGCGCAGGACTGCCGCGTGTGGCTTCGATGCGACTGGATAGTGCCCCAAAACTCAGCCTTCTTGGCCAATTTAGTGAAGGGTTCTACTGCGATCTACTGCGTAGTCTGATGGTGACGGCCTGTAAAAGCCAGATTTTGCTACGACCACCTTTATTGTTTGAATTGAATGGTTCTCAAAAGTGTGCTTATGATCCAATCGTCCTTCCTGTCTCGCAGTCTCTCCGCTAGCCGCAGACACCCACAATCCACAATTGGAGGTGAAGTTGAGGCCAAGAGCAGCGATCTCCTTTCACTGCCCTTCAGTTCCCAATTCAGTTGTAGTTGCATCAAAATCTTAAGTGTGTTTTTTGGAAGGGAGAAGCTGAGCTAGATCCCCACCAATTGCTGCACTTAGCTTGTCTTCGTGCGTTTCCACCTGCTTAAACAGTTCATTTTTGGCGCGTCTAAGTCTGGCGCAGCAGGACCAAGAAGACGCAGCGCGGCGGCCCGGAGCGCAAAGGAGATCGCAACTGGCTGCGCAAAGTTTTCGTCCCGACCGACTCGGTGGTTGATTGGACATGGGCTAGCCAAATGCGCGTTTTCCTTTTGGTTTTCCTTGAAACCAACCCTAGGAAGGGCACCCTCCAAAGCATGCACATCCCGATTTGGCCTGTGAACAACCCGCGCGGCCTGACAAAAGTTACGGCGCTGGCGAGCCGATCGAGGCGGTGTCGGAGAAGGCGGAGCTCAAGCGTTTGCGTTTGCTGCGGCAGACCCGAGCGCAGGCGCAGCCAGGGGGGTTTGGCTCTATGCGGGGAAGCCAGGAAGCCAAGCAAATTTGCGGTTTCCCTTTGGCTTTCTGGGGGGGGGGGTGCTCAATAAAACAGAGGGGGTCTTTGGAAGGATAGTCCAGTTAATGCCACAGGTGCCTTCGGTTGGAAGGGTGCCCCCAAAGGCAGCATTCATGTCTGAGACCTCCAGGGCTGCCTGATGTTTCTTTTGTTTGAGTGCGGTTAAGTTCGACATCAACTGGCTGGTCAGCTTGCCCGCGTTGTTTCCCACCCTGAATTGATTCATGTAGAGGGGGGGGGGGGGGTCCACATCCATTCAGGGGCTCTTTTGTGCACATGTCCCATGTTTTGTTTGGTGGGTAAAATATGGATGCAACATACCGATTCTGGCGGAGCACTCACGATTTTCGGGGGGATTTGGGCTTAGAGTTGCTTGAAGCAACGCGGGCCCCGCGTGTTCACATCCGCGTAGGCTGATGATGAACCTGGCGGTGCCGTAGCATATAGCATCGTCTCAACAAGCCCCCCACCCCCCAAACATGTCGCTTTCCTCGGGTTTCCGGATGAAAAAAGCAGTCGTCAAGGCGGCTCAAACACACCTTTTTGTTCAAAGGCACGATCCGTCCTTCGATAGGGCCCTGCCCGTGGTGGGCGGGTCACTTTTACTGTCTTGGTGCCTTGCACCGTTGCCCGGACCCTCGAAAGCAGGATCAAAGCCCAAGATGCCCCACGAAAAGTGACCAGTGGCGTCCTTTGGTTTCCCTTGATGGGGGGCCACTGGTGATTTCTGGTGCCTTGTTTTTGGGAGGATCCTCTGAAGTACTAAAACAAAGGATTGAAGCAGCACGCTTTTTGCCGCTGGGCACTGAGAGTCTGCTTCAACCTCCCCGTGTGGAGCGCCTCGCGCGCCAGCGAGGCGCAGACGGAGCGCCGTGAGGAGCTTCGGGAGCAGCTCCTGCGAGAAGAGGCCGGCGGCATGTTTTTTTGGCGTGGCGAGGCGTTACGGGTGAGGACTGAAAAACCAAGTGAGCAGCGTAAAAAAATCCTTAAAGGAGCAAATTGAAGGCCTCTCCTAGCGAAGCCTCGCGAAAGCTAAAACGCAGGGCGCGAAAGCACCCTATTTTCGGCACTGCTCAAGTAAGAAGCTGAGAACTTGAAAGCCAATGAACCCTTGACAACCTAATGTTGACCCCATATTCATCAGTCCCAGTTTATTAGTAGGGGGGGTGAATTCCCTTCCTGGCAATGTTGGGTCTGCTTTGATTCAGTCAGCGAAATTATCTTTGGTGGAAAACTGGGGCTGTCTTGAGTATGAAGTGTGGTTGTCGTCTTGTTGTTGGTTGGTACCGCGTTTGTCGAAGCACACTCTGAGCAACAAGTTCCATTGACACATTCCCAAAGTAATCCATCGTGGCCGAATGTTTAGCCAATTCAACTTGACTCAAGTTGGTCACATCCATTTGGATTGGTGTCATGTCCGCACCACTAATTCTTCAGGCAGTCAGCATTGCACTCTCAACCAGTTCCGCAAGACGGGTCATGTGTGAGCAACGACAGAAGCAAACCAATTTGTATGGGCTCTTTTGGCTTGAAAGCGCAGCACCATAGGCGTCCTTTTTAGGTTAGTTTGATTAGAAATAGGTGGCGCTGGTTTAGATGGGTTTTATTCCATTTACCAGGGGAACCCATCTATTTTTCAAGGATACCTACTGTGCATGGACAAAATCCTGCACCACTTTGAAATTGCATGGCAAAACCCATTGTTTGCTGGTTTTTGCAGGGGGAATCCTCAGAAACCAGGGTGTCTTAAGTGGTGCCATGTCTTGATTTTGCGGACCCATCCACAGCATGTGCAGCACCGGTTCCCCGCGGACGTCCATGACTAGCCAGGCGCGTGGTCGCGATGAGCGCTGGGCCTTGCGGGAAGAGCTCACCGAGGCTGCGGAAAGGGGTGCCGCAACTGCCGTTTTGTCGAAGGAGGGGAGGTTTGGTTCATGCCATGTTGTTGTTTGGTTGCTGGCTTGGCTTGGCTTGGCTTGGCTTGGCTTGGCTTGGCTTGGCTTGGCTTGGCTTGGCTTGGCTTGGCTTGGCTTGGCTTGGCTTGGCTTGGCTTGCTTTCTTGCTTGCTTTCTTGTTTGGCCGTTTGGTGGTTTGGTCGTTTGTTTGCTTGGTTCTTTGTGTGTGTGTGTGGGTTTGCTTGCGTGGTTTCTGATTAGAGTAGTCTTTTTATGGTCAACTTGGGAGGGACATTCAGGGGGGTGGGGGGGTCTCTGAATTTCTCACAGCAACCAAGGGGTTCTGGTTCTGATGCTTTAATGGGTGATGTAAAGGCCTATTCTCAACCTTCATAAGCATCTTGGTAACACAAACCAGCTGGGGTTTCGGGCGTATGTGTGTGTGTGTGGACTGGCGGGTTCCATTTGGTTTCCCTTTGAGCTTTAAAGGCAGGTTTGGCAGGGTGCCCTTCGCATCGTTTTACACACGCAGGCCCTCAAAGCTGGCACCGTTCTGCTTGTTCCTCGGTTTCCTTAAGGGAATCCTTTGCCAGCCGAGAGCTGGTCCGAATCCCATTTTGAGAAACGACCAACACCCAAACAAAACCACCTTTTTCGAAGGGACCCCGAAAATGACTGGAATTGGTTTCCTGTTTCTTTCCCCTTTGAAGCCACAAACAAAACGGGATATATTCCTTTCGCCTTCAAACAAGAAAGGACATGTCAAACCCTGACTCGCGCCCCCCGCGCTGGACGCGATGCGATCCGAGCGCTCGAGAACGAGGCCTGCGTCGCCACGGAGCTTCTGAGCTCCGAGGTGTCTGCGGAGCGCAAGGCCCGGGACGCCACTCTGCAGCGCCCACGGCCCCAGGGCCGCGGTCGGGGGGGGGGGGGCGCGGCGCGATTTCAGTTGTTTCCTCAGTTGTTTCCAGTGGCACTCTTTTTCACTCTTTTTTTTGGTGGCTGCTCCACTAAACATGGTCTGCCCCAACAAGGGTTCCCTTTTTTTCCAGGGTCACTGAACAGCTGAGGCCCAGATCGTTTTTTTTTGGGGGGGGGCTCTCCAATGTTGACTGAAAGAGCACTGAAGGGAACCTAAAGTGTATGATGCATCAAAGCAACATCCATCGTTTGTTGGGGTCCCCTATGGGAACACGCACCCATTCTCCGCCCCTCAAGTGGGATATGGGGGTCGTCCAAGCAGTTGGTGTTCAAGTCGGCGCAAGTCGGGGAGTCGGTCATTGGCAGTTGCATCAGTTGAGTCACTCACTTGCAACCGAAAGGCTTGGGAACAGGAGATAGCAGGAGGTAAACCTTTACCTCCCCAGTGAAGAACCTGCGCGATTTCCCTCTTGGGTCGCTTGAGCATACTCTACTGGCCATTCGTTCTGAGCATTCTTTCGTTGATATTTCAAGGTGACATCCTCGACTCTCCATGATTCAAAGATGCGGTCACCCCTTTCTTTTGGGCAATGACCCACCATTTTTGAAAGGGTCATGGAGAGTCTAGGATGAGACAATTCCATCTTTGAGTCGTGTGGACCCCCCCCGCCCCCCCGATGAGCCGATGAGCCGATGAGCTGCTGGTTCCTAGGCCTGCGGGAAGAGGAGATGTACCTGGTGGGCCAGGCGTAGCAGGGGGGGGGGGGGGAGCCGAGCGGTCGGTTTTTTTCGACTTCCGAGTTTCAAGGGGGGGGTCCCATGAAGGTCGGAAGGGGTCCCATCGAGGTCTGAAGAGTCCCATGAAGGTTTCAATGCAGTTGTTGTTTTTCTTTTTCGCTTTTTTCTCCGGGGGATCAATGGTTCAAATCAAGGCAGCAGATTGCTGGCGGCTAATTTCTGTGCCGTTGGCCAGCTTGGAGTGTGTTGCCAGAGCTTCACATAGAACTCCAAACCGAGTTAAACCGAGTTGTGCATTTGCAGAGCCATCTCATTTCAAGAAGCCCAAGAACTGTTGTGTAACACGTCGAAGTGACTGAAGGGCAATGACTGAAGTTGAGCAATTTCCATGAGGCCTACAGAAGAAAAAAACAACTCCATTTGTTCTGCCTATACATTTGGTGTGTTCTGCTTCTACATGTTCCTGATCGAGGACATGTTCTGCCTCTACCTGCTTCCAGGCCAAATGTGATGCTCCCACCCTTGATCACCAGAGAGACCCCCTTTGCCTTGGGATCTCATGTCACGCCGAACCAGCTCGAGCTAGTTCTTTTGCTGCTGTACTAAACCAAGATGGGGACCCTGTGGACCCCCCCTTTTCGTGAGGAATCCAAACGAATCCGTGGTTCGAGCTGTACTTCCAACATGTGACCCTCATTTTCACGAGGAATCTAAAGGAATCCAAAGGTCCCAACCCAGGTCAGCGAGGCTGAGGAGGCAGACCACGCCTCCAGGAGCCGCAGAGGTTCTCGGCCATCTGAAAGTGGTCCGAAAACTTGCTGGTGCGCAGGGAATGACCGAGTCCGGGTGATTCCCTCAAGGGAAGCCACACTGTGGATGGACGAAATCCTGCACCACTTTGAAACCTATTGGAAACCATTGTTTGTTGGTATTTAAAGGGGACTCATCATTCCAGGGTTTTGTAGGTGGTGCAGGATTTCGTCCATCCACAGTAAGGGATGGTTTATAATGGGCCATTCCCTCATGCCCTACTGGGAAGACACGAGACTGGAAGGAGCCCAGCAACCTGACCTGTGGCTGCATCGGACGTGATGGCAATGCGCTCAATGCGTTTTGTTTCGAAACAGCTGTTCTGCGCAACATCCCTACCTCCAAAGTCTTCCAGCATCTTCATGTGAATTTGAGAAACCAGAGAGTGCGTACAAAAGAATCTCGGGCATTTCAGCCAAAAAACCCGGCAAGACCCAACATCTGCGCAAGGGTTGTTTGGCGGGTCTGTGTGATTGTTTAGGGGGAGCATTGACGTGAGCACGGAAGGAGCTCTTTGTTGAACGCGTGCGGACTCATCCCGCGGATTTGCGCGCAGGAGTTCCATCTGGTCTGTGCATAGTGAGTCTGCCTGGTCAGAGGCAATCCTGGGCGAGGTTTGGAGGGTTTTGGGGAACCGAGGCAAGCAGAAACTCACGCCCGAATGCTGAATACTCCCCCCACTCCAAATACCCGACCCTCTACTAAAACAGGAGGTATTTACCATGGAAACCCAGGTTGTTCAAAAAATGCCCGGAAAAAGTGGTTATTTGGAGCAGGGGGCTGGTTTTCTAGGTCAAGATCCATAGGTTTGTAAATTCTAAGTTTCTTAGCTTCATTTGCTTGGGACTCTGCCAATCTCAGGAAATCAGGAAGGGGCACCCTTCCCAGTTAATCCGGCACGCCTTGGCTGCAATGGATGTTCCCGTGAAGATAAGCATTACTCCATGACCCTTCAAAAATGGGGTCATTGCCGAAAATTAAGGGGCCATGGACCCATTTTTTACCGGTCATGGAGAGACGACATAGTGGCAACCACTGGAGGCGGATGTTCCTCAACCGCGACGACCATGGGATGCTAGCCAATCCTGGGTTTGGAGTTCGGCCCAAAATCATCCCCCTAGTTCTCAATCAGGGCTGTCCGGAAGGACGGAATGCCACAAACCAAAAAGGAACCTCCATTTTGATGGCGAGTGTTGCCTGCGTCAGTGGGGAAAGTGACTCGTGATGTCTAAACCGGGCAAAAGGTGCGATGACGTCCTTGACCCCAAGGAAAATGGGGGAAATGGGGGAGGGGGGGTTGCCATGGACACCCATAGAGTCCATTTTGCAACCAAGAACCCCGTAAAAATACCTTGAAAGAAGGAGGTTGCAAAAATAGACTCCAAGCGTCCACCATACAGGGTCGTCCACCATACAGATCGGGCGGTACAGCAAGGTTTCTACAGGAGCACTCTTGGCACATGGGTGCACCAGGTTGGACTTGGACTTGCCATCTGTCACAGTATGAACCAGACCAATGGACAGAATACATAATCACACATGTGGTTCGGCGAAAAATGGGAGATTTGGACATGACCTCACTGAACTCCCCAACAACAAGCCCGGGGACTCACGGCAAGAAAGGTAGTGGAACTGAACCTCACGTGCATAGATGCTCGGAGAGAACCTGCAGATTGTGATACTTGGTTGTTCGGGAGCCAATGAGTAAATAGCTGCATATGGTGGTCGCCACGTGATATGGGGGAGCCTAGCTTGGCAGCAGGCATCCAAGTGGTAGGGCTCTTAAAGTGATGAATCCACGTTTCCATGGGCGTGAAAGGGAAATATGGCAGGAACCCCTAAGCTTCATCCGTTTTCGGGGTGCCCTCTTTCCGACAACGGAAGTGGACAGGACAGGAGGGTTTTGGCAGACTGTCCTCTTGGAAACGTGTGTGTCATAGCATGTTCCGCTGTTTCAGGGGTACCCAAAGGAATACCACTATTTCAGGGAGCCCAATGGCAAGTAGGATTTTTGGGGCTTTTTCAGGGAGCTCGAGGAACACCCCGCCTATTTGGACTCAGCCAGCCCAATGGCAAGTCGATGCCATCGATCGATGCAGGTGGCTCTCTCCAGACCGCTGGAGCCTTTCGACATCAGCACCCCACGGGAGGCAAGCGATCAAAAAGTTTGAAGGTTGTGGGGGGACTAGCCCTCGGCAAATGCACAGAGAACACCCAAAAAGGACACCCTCCAGCCTAGAGTCAATCAC